ATTCATCTGAATAAGAATTGGGGTGTTTGATCCATATAGGCTTTCTGTTGTTATTGAGGGAAAAGGTTTTTTGTTTTTTTCACTACATTGGTTTACATCCAAAACAGCCCTGGCAACAAAGCACTGTTTCCTTTACTAATTGTACAAGAATTAGTTTCCTATACAGATTGTATATGACCCATATCTAGCTGCTAGAATGTTACTCTTGTTTGCAAAATTTTAGCTCCAAAAAGTAGCAGTCTGTTTTTTCCACTTGGACTTGTGCAGATTTAAGTAAAACATCCTACCAAAACAAACAACAAACTACCATGTGCACTTTTCCCTAAAACTGAAGTGCGATCTCATAAATCAGTTGTATAGCACCCTCAGAAGCCACTGCAATATTGTATATTATTGGTTCCTACTTGCCGTTGCTTTGGGTTTTAAAGTAACTGAAAGCAATAAATTAGCCTTACAGTAGCTAAGATATTTATTTATAAACTAGTTTATATCCCCATTTGCTGCAAAGAAGTTCAAGACTGTTTTTCTGTTCTTTTGTACTTGAGATGTTTCACCATAAGATTCAGCTCTTTTATATATGAACGGTCTCCATAAAAGGCACAAATGGGAGTCTTTTGAATGAAGGAAATATATAAGGGACCTTTGGTTAAGTCTAGCCCAGAGTAAATAGTTTGCGTATGCTTTGAGTGCTGCTTATTGCATAAACAACTGGGTGTAAGTTCTGTATCCAGTTTCCAGACACACATTTCTTTAATTAAAAAATAAATAGCAGTGGCAGAAAAATAATCAAGGAACTCTTTGACCACACACGGTATATAATCTTAGAAGAAGAATGACCTATTCAAGACTAATCCTTTTAACAATACTATAGTTATCTGGTTTAAGCTGCCTAAAAGCCATTGGAAATAAAAAGATACCGTAGGGTTAGGATCATAGAAAAGTAAGGCTAGACTTCTTTATGACTATGAATTCACAAGATCATCTAGTCCACCCCCTGCTCAGGGCAGAAGGACAAGCTCTTTGGCATTCATCTTTGTGATGAGAAAACATTAACTGTGAATCAGTCCATCATCCAATGGGAACTTGTTTCAGGCATACCAATCATGTAAAGAAAAAATGAAACCATATATTGTATTTGTGTAACCTTTTTACGCATACAGCTCCTGTTGCCTTCACTGGACATTTCTTGTGCAGATGGTCTCAAGGATTGGGCAGTTGCTATAAAGATGGTGTTCATAATTTTAGAAGGCAGTGGCAGTAGTAGGAACAGGGGACAAAAGAGGATTTAAGGGCATGATTTGGGAACCTAGTAACATAGGAAAGATCTTGGTCAACAGCAATGTGTGCACCTTTTGAGGATGCATGGAAGCCAGACTTTGTTAAATGACAAAATCAGGCAAAACTGGGCATAAAAATGCTCTTCAGGGCTAAGGGTTGAGTTCTCATCTGTTAAAAATGAAGCCTAGATAGTTTTCTCTTTCCTCTTGTCTGATAGATGAACAGTTACTTCTTTGATCACAAGTTGGAAAAATAGTGAATGCATTTGTAATATTCTTTAATATTATTGAGAGAGTAGTTCGTGTCCTGAGAAGAGAATCCACATATTATTGCTCGCACTTCATGGCTCTTTTGCAGATACGCACCTCAGAAAAGTGTCTGAGAGGGGAAGTCTGCGATGCAGGTACCATGCCTGATTGTAGCTCCCCCCCCCCC